CCCAGAATTGCACACAGTACTCCAACTGCGGTCTGACCAGCTCCCGATAGAGGGGAAGTATCACCTCCTTGGACCTATTCGTCATGCATCTGCTGATGCACGATAAAGTGCCATTGGCTTTTTTGATGGCTTCGTCACACTGCCGACTCATGTTCATCTTGGAGTCCACTAGGACTCCGAGGTCCCTTTCCACTTCCGTGCCACCCAGCAGGTCATTCCCTAGGCTGTAGGTGTGCTGGACATTTTTCCTCCCTAGGTGCAGCACTTTGCATTTCTCCTTGTTGAATTGCATTCTGTTGTTTTCTGCCCACTTGTCCAACCTGTCCAGGTCTGCTTGTAGCTGTTCCCTGCCCTCCGGCGTGTCCACTTCTCCCCATAGCTTTGTGTCATCTGCAAACTTGGACAGAGTACACTTCACTCCCTCGTCCAAGTCGCTGATGAAGACATTAAAGAGTATCGGTCCAAGGACCGAGCCCTGCGGGACCCCACTGCCCACACCCTTCCAGGTCGAAACCGACCCATCCACCACGACCCTCTGGGTGTGACCCTCTAGCCAATTCGCCACCCACCGGACTGTGTAGTCATCCAAGTCACAGCCTCTTAACTTGTTCACCAGTATGGGGTGGGATACCGTATCGAAGGCCTTCCTGAAGTCTAAGTACACGACATCCACCCCTCCTCCTGTATCCAGGTGTTTTGTAACCTGGTCATAAAAAGAGACTAGATTAGTCAGGCACGATCTACCTGCTACGAACCCGTGCTGGTTTCCCCTCAGCATAATTTGTCCTGCCGGGCTCTCGCAAATGTGAGCCTTGACAATTTTTTCAAAGATTTTGCCGAGGATGGAGGTGAGACTGACTGGCCTATAGTTGCCCGGGTCCTCCTTCCTCCCCTTCTTGAAAATGGGGACCACATTGGCCCTTTTCCAGTCCTCCGGGACTTGGCCCGTGCGCCACGAGTGTTCAAATATTCCCGCCAGTGGCTCTGCTATGATGTCTGCCAGTGCCTTCAGCACCCTCGGATGGAGCTCATCTGGGACTGCCGACTTAAAGGCATCTAATTCTTCCAAGTGACTCTGCACCATCTCAGGGTCTACGCATGGAAGTCTGGCGCCTTGCTGCTGCCTCTCTACAACCCCAATATGTTACATTCTAGATATAATACCCAAATGGGTTTGTACAATATTGCAGTACTGTTAAAAGATTATTAATTCAGTGCATCTCCCTAAAGGGGCAATGTATGAATGTAACTACAACATACAGACGTTTCATATGGATCTTTTCTCCAATATTTTTTCCTAACAGTTCTATCCAAAAGGGAGATGATGATTATGAAGATTATACAACTAATAAAACTTGGGTTTTGACTCCCAAAGTCCATGAGAGTGACGTCACTCTTATTTTAAATGGTTTGCTTGAGGGATATGACAACAAGCTGCGGCCTGATATAGGAGGTGTGTAAATTTTTTAACCTACTTTTGCCTGAATTTGGGGGGAAGTGGGGCAAAAAGATAATTCTTATTTGCTATTATTTTGGAAGTTGAATCCCCCAGATAAGATGCAAACAAAATAAAACACAGTGGCCATGTCTACACAAGACTCTGACTGCACAGCAGCTTCTTATTACTGTGCAGTAGCATTGTGTGGCACAAAACATGATGCAATGCTACCGAGCAGTAGTTATGAGCTCCTGCTCAGTCAGTATCACCAGGAAGCTGTTCGGGGATGCTACTGTGCAGTAATGTCGACTACTGTGTGGTCATTTAGTACTTGTGTATGCAAATACTAAATGACTGTGCATAAACAACTGCGCAGTCAGAGTCTCCAGTAGATACGGCCAGTAAATCTTAATTTTGTTCAGAGTCCTATCTGAGCAAGGACTCTGTGCTTATGGCTAAAGTTTTAAAACATGGACATATATGGTAGGTCATTAGATCCACAGCAAGACATATACATTTAACTGTCCTCATTTGTAGAAGTGAGGAATATTTACAAATTCTATTTGTGAAAGCAGCAGGAACTCAACAACATTGACTTACTTTCATATTTAAATGCCCACATATGAAATTAGCACTTAACTTTTGAATATTTAGTTTTGGAAATGTTAGCATTTATTTATATGGATATATAATATAATTATAGTGTTATAAATACTAGAACCAGAGGGAGAGGAAAGTAAGTATAAATATAGGAGAACTTATATATAGGCCAGATCCTCATGATGTGGAAGTCAGTGGCTCTAAAATCATTTTCATTAGCTGGGCTCTTACTCATATTAGTTTCAGATAAGCTTTGAAAAGCAGAGGAGTACCTGAAGAAGTAGAGCAGTGTATAACTTATTTTCCATATCCTAAAGCTGTGGGAGAGAATATAATGACATTACAGAAAGGAGTAAAGAGAATGAACAAAGAGCAAAGGGAAGCAGAGAGGAGAGAGGTCTATGTAGTTGGCTAGTTCAAACAAGTCAGTAGAGAGGTTTAAAATCAACTAGGACAATTTTCAATTTCAATGAAAATTATCATGAAGGCCTATGTAATTAACACTCAGTGATAGTATATACATATGGATCATAAAGTTAGGAGAGGATTTTCCTATGGTACACATGAACAGAAATGCTATTTGGCTTCTTGTTCCAATCCAAGAGTTAAGGAATTAAAAAGAATGAATAATCCATAAAAAGACATCTGGAAAGATTGGTTCAGTTTTAGGCAGGGGTACCTATGAGTAATGTGGTCAGCATGAGGGAATATAATTGTTTTTCATGCCTGTTTTATAAGCTTCAAATACTGTTGCCATTTTGGTGTCAAGGGGCACGTCTACACATGCAATTAAGGTGCATGAATAAACTCTGGATTTTAGTGCTCTGGAGTTTATTGCTTCTGGGCATTGCATCTGTGTATGCACCTGGAGTGCAGCACATTGAGCAAGGTCAGAGCAGCCCTGGCTGGCAGGGGACCCGGGGGTCAGCCTGCCAGCTTGGGGCTTCTCCCCCTGGCTCAATGTACTGTAGAGGGACTGACTGGGGCATGAAGGTGCTTCATTGTGGGGCTAGCTGCCAGGCCAGCTGGAGCAGCATTTACATGTGCTGCTGCAGAGTTTTTTGCTCCGCAGTAGGATAGTACTTGTATTTACAAGTACTATTTTGCTGTAGAGTTAATTAATCTAATCCAGCCTAATTGGGATGCACATGTAGATGTGTGATGCTAACTGTGCAGCTAATTAGCCAACTGCACAGTAAACATCTTGTGTAGATGTGCCCAAGAAGTTGTTGTTTATTAGGGCTGTGCGACGCTTCGGTCCCTGATTCGATTCGGCGGAGATTCAGCCCGATTCAGTGGCTGAATCTCTGAATCTGAATTGAATCAGGAGACCCTTTAATCTCTCCAAATAGAATTGGAACCATCTGAATCGATTCAGAGAGATTCAGAAAGATTCAGCGATTTGGACATAGACACAACTTTAAATGTTTTTTTCTACATACCTCAAGGTACCAGGTGACTCACGAATGCTGAGCTGCTGGGGCAAATGAAGCATCCGACAGAAGCACAAGGGGCTCCCCAGTGTGCTCAGCAGCAGACCCAGAAGTGGACCAGAAGCACTTCCAGTCCACTTCCGGGTCCACCAGGGAGCATGTGGGGGCCCCCTGTGTCCCCCCAGCTCAGTGACTGGTGCCTCCTGGGTCTGGGGGGGGGGGCACCCGTGCCTGCCTGCTGAGCTGGGGAAGCATGGGACTCCCCACAGCATGCTCCCTGGTAGACCCAGAAGTGGACCAGAAGTACTTCTGGTCCACTTCCAGGTTTGCTGTTGAGCTTACAGGCCCCCCGACCCCACGCTCCTGTGGGACGCTCCATCTGCCCCACCATCGCAGCATTCACGAGCTGTGCCCAGTACCTCAAAGTATATAGAAAAAACATTTAAAGCTGTATCTATGGCCGAATCGCTGATTCTCCAAATCAGCATCAAATCTTCAGATTTGGATTAGGTTGAATCGAATCGGGGACAGTGATCTGAATCAATGAATCAAGTCACTGTTCTCGATTCGAGCCAAATTCAAATCTGAATTGAATATGGCCTGTTTTGCACACCCCTACTGTTTATCTTCAGCCATAACTTCAGGCTATGCCAGTTACGTGCCTTTGGTCTTATAATATGAATAAGCAATGCAATATGTCATAAAAAGAATTTGAAAAATGTATTTTCTCAAATAGTGCTCACAGATAAATTATGTTTTTGCAACCATTGCTTCAGACACTCCATACAAATATGCATGCACAATCTCATGCTGACCTGACTTATACTATAGTGAGGCCACTGGCTTTGAGAGTTATTAATTACATATGTTTACACCCCAATTAGTGTGTGGACTATCATATATACCACAGACAGGGCGCATCTACACAAGATGTTTAGTGTAGAGCTGCATAATTAGCTCCTCAATAAAGTCTCAGTGTCTACACATCTGTTTGGTTGCAGGAAACTAGTTAACTCTACCCTAGATTTGTACTTGTAAATACAAGTACTAGCCTGTGGTAGTGTTCTTTAGTACACAGCAGTGCTCATGTAGGCACTGACTGGGCTGGCTGGGCTATGAGAGTGCTTCAGTGTGTGGGGCTGCCTGCCAGTTCGCCCCACACTGAAACACTCGTGCCCCAGCCAGCCCCTCCACAGCATGTTGAGCTAAGTCAGAGCAGCTCCGGGCTGGCAGGCTGACCCGCCCAGGCTCTCTAGCAGCCAGGGCTCTTCTGACCCTGCTCAACATGCTGCCATCCCAGGTGCATGTGTAATTGTGGTGCCTGGGAGCAATAAACTCTGGTGCGATATGTGCTGGAGTTTATTGCTCCACGTTAATAGCATGTATATATGCACCTACTCACAAATACCCATGAGATACTCTAGACACAATTGCCTTATGCATGTTGGATGTTGACTTTTATTTGTATTACTGATTCTTTTACTTTCCTTCCAGTGAAGCCAACAGTAATTCACACTGACATGTATGTAAACAGCATTGGTCCAGTGAATGCTATCAATATGGTAGGTAAATTTTGTTACATTATTTGTTCAGCATGTTTCATTTGATGCATGTAATAAACCTTTATATGTGCAAAACTGTATCAATTTTAATATTTTGGCATTGCAGTATACACCACTTATTTTAATAATTTTTTATATCATTGCTATTGAGGAGTGGGTAGGTCATGGCTGTGTGGGAAGGTGGAAATGGATCTTAGCTTTACATTAAGAATAATGTTGATAACTTTACAGCACAGGTTTTCAACATTATGTCCATCATGGAAGGCTTGAAAGACTAAGATTAGAACATGCTAAACATTCGGGGGGGCGGGTATCAGTATTTTGATAATCTTCATATCTCACAAACAAGAGCCTGTGTAAAATAGATATTGTACAATTTGTGTCAGAATTGAAGAAGTATTATAAAGGCAATTTACACATGTCTGCGGGTGCAAAAGTAGAAGATAGGCCTGTAGATAGCCTCTGGGTAAAGGTCAGAGGGAAGAGCACTGTTGGGTGTCACTGTGGGTGGATGATAGGTGGACAAGGCTTTCTTCAAACAAGTAATGGAAGATTTCAAGTCCTGGACTTGGTTCTTATGTGGGACTTTAATTGTTGGGGTATCTGCTGGAAGGAAAACAGCAGTGCACAAGCAGGCAAGCAAATTCTTGGAGTGTACTGGGGATAAGTTTTTGATACAGATGGTAGAGAGGCCAACTAAGGGGAGAAGCTGTTCTTGACTTACTGTGCACAAACAGGGAAGAATTGGTTGAGGATGTGAAGGTGGAAGGTAACTTGAATGACAATAAGCATGAAATGATAGCATTCAATATCCTAATGGGAGGAACAAAGGAAAGCAGCAGAACAAGGACACTGTTCTTCAGAAAAGCAGACTTTGACAAACTCAGGGAACTGGTGGGTAGGATTTCCTGGAAGGCAAGTCTGAGGGGAAAAGGAGTACAGGATAATGTGGAAGACAATCTAGTTATGGATGATTCTGAGAAGGCCAAAGTATTTAATGCCATTTTTGCTTCATTTTTCACAAGTAGGGGCAGCAGCCAGTTGATGAATGCAGTTGTCAGCTAAGATAGGGAAGAAGACAAACAGCCTAGAGTAATTCCAGAACAGGCTAGGGACTACTTAGAGAAGCTAGATGCTTTCTAGTCATCAGGGCTGGACAGGGTACACCCTAAGATACTGAAATAATTATCTGGGGGTAGTTTGAGTCACTGGTTATCCTTTTTGAGAACTCATGGAGGTCAGGTGAGGTCCCTCATGAATGGAAAATGGAAAATACAATGCTTATCCTTAAGAAAGGGAATAAGGAGGATCTAGGGAGCTACAGACTAGTAAGCTTGACCTCTATACCCAGAAAAATCATGGAACAGGTCCTCAAGGAATTTGCTGCGAAAATGCCAAGAGGAGAAAAAGGTGACTAGGAGCAGCCAGCATAGATTTACCAAGAAAAGTCATGCCTGACTAAACTGATTTCCTTATATGATACGTTGAGAGTCTCTGTGGCTGGAGGGAGAACAGTGATATACCTTGTCTTTAGCAAGTTTTTTGGTGCTGTTCCTCACAACATTCTTATTAACAAGGTAAGGAAATACAGGCAAGATGAAAGTACTGGATGGTGTATACATAACTGGTTACATCCTCATACTCAAAAAGTAGTCATCAATGTCTAAATGTTTAGTTGATGATCTCATTAATGGTCCAGAATGACCTGACTATGCTGGAGAAATCATCTGCTATCAATCATGTGAGATTCAAAAAGGACAAGTGCAAAGTCCTACAGTTGGGATGGAGGCACAAATACAGACTAAGGAATGACTGAGTGGGCTGCAGTACTGCAGAGAATTGAATTGCAGTACTGGGGGTTACAGTGAAGCATAGTTTGAATATATGCTAACAGTGTGCTCTTGCTGGAAAAAAAAAAAAAGGCTAATAAAATACTTGGTTGTATTAACAAGAGCATCACTTGCAAATCACTTCCCCTCTGCTCAGCACTGGTGAGGCCTTGCCTGGAGTACCGTATTCAGTTTTGTGTCCCATACTTCCAGAAGAATGTGGACAGTTTGGAAAAAGTCCAGCACAGAGCAACAAAAACAGTTTAGGGATCTGGGAGGCAAGACGAATTAGTGACATTTAGTCTGGAGAAGAGTAAATTGAGGCAGGATTGGCTTCAAATACCTGAAAAGTGATTAAAGAGAGGGTAAGGGTGCAGGCAGACAGAAGTGACAATTTTTGCCTGGCCACAGAAAACAGTTTAGAGCTACTACCAAACACAAGTGCATAACTGCAAACAGCTTCAAAAATGGCCAATTGGGTGAAAATCTGACCCTTATTACATGAGGTATCAGATAAAGATGATTCAAAATGTATTCTCTTTTGTGACTTGTGTCTGCCAAGCTCCCAACCTGTTGCTGTTTTCAGAATGGGAGGGAAAAAAAGGGAGCAGAGGGAGTTCAATCAGGGTTTTTTTCAGCCTCCTCACCCCCCACAGAGGGCAGGACAGGTATATTGCAGTCCCCCCAAGGTGGGGGGGGGGGCTCCAATTCACCCACACTATCCCTCAGCAACATCTGGGGAGCCCCAAGCATGAGTTCCCTCTGCTTCCTTTTCCCCCTCCAATTCTGAAAACATCCAGCACTGGCAGAGAGCCTGGCCATTACTGTGGGAACCTGGCTGCAGGCTCCCAGCTGGCAGCTAGATTCCCCTCCCCCCAGAACCAACAGTGAACTTCTGTTTGGTCCGAGGTAATGCTGTAACTCAGAATTCTTTACAAAAATTGTTCTGAGTTACACTTGGAAGCTGCACTTCTGTCTGCACCCAAAGATAGGTTTTTATCTGAGGCTGTAGGGGACAGGACTAGGAGCAATGGCCTCCATCTTCAGCAGAGGAAACTTAGGTTGGAAATTAGGAGTAATGTTTTGACTACGATCATGGTCAAGCATTGAAACAAGTTACCTAGAGAAATAGAATCGCCATGCTTGGAAACTTTCAAAAGCAGGTTAGACAGACATTTGGCTGGGAGGGTTTAGTCATGGATGACTGAACAGAGAGCTGGACTAGATGTCTTTGTGATGTCCTTTCCAGTCTTATTTTCCTATGAAAATATACTACATGTATATAAAGAATGACCAAGTTCTGCAGGAGAATGAAACTCAGACACAGAGATGAATTTGGAAAGCTTAAATGTCATCAACTTGCAATTTGGGAAACCTGGATTGACTTTCTATCTAAATTATTAGAAATTTACCTGGATCCATTTAAATCATTTCAAGTCAAATAACCAATATTTAGGGATGATTCCTAGGATGTTTCAAGGAAGGCAAACAACCCGACTTAAAGGATTTACTCAGGGATGATGATGCCTTGAGCAGGGGGCTGGACCTTGTAGGAAGCCTCCCAACCGTACTTTTTTGTGATCCGATGAACCTATCATCTATCTTATTAATATTTCCTTAAGAGGAGATTTCTTTCCCAATACTCAGAGAAAACCTTAAAGTATTTGGAGAATATAGCTCAAATTATAAGTACATTCCAGTCTAGGCAGTGTGGGATAGAAGCAGTTGTATGTCCTGTGGGTGTTGTATTCAGCAAGCAGACAAGAAGAACACTCATGTTCATTGCCAAGGTATGATCTTCATAAAGAACATGGGTGCAGGGAAAGGCAGGAAGAGGAGACTACAGAACTGCTTGCCTACTTCTGTGAGGGCACTGGGATCGACTGTTCCCCAGACTGATCAAACATCACCCCCCTGCCTCCCTACTGCCTCCCAACTGAAATTTATTTGGTATGAAGTTAAGCACCATGACTTTAAAAAGATAAAGTCTTCAATTCAATTCTGATTCGGGTCAATTTGAAGTTCATTACTAATGAGGGAAAAAAAGAATCAATCCCCAAATTGATCACATCCATTATTTTATTGGTGCTCATATCAGGTCTTCTTAGCTTTATCTGAAAAAGTGCTTGGAGCAAATTTAAGACAAAGTTTTTTTCAAGTGAAGCTCGGATATGATCTGTGGAATGCTACTTTTGACTATGTTTCATCAATATTTCTGGTTGATACAACAGGAGTATACAATCGATATATTTTTTGCCCAAACCTGGTATGACAGACGTCTGAAATTCAACAGTACTATAAAAGTGCTTCGGTTGAATAGCAACATGGTGGGAAAGATATGGATACCAGATACATTTTTCCGAAACTCCAAGAAGGCTGATGCTCATTGGATAACAACTCCCAATAGGATGCTCAGGATCTGGAACGATGGCAGGGTGCTATATACACTAAGGTATTCAAATTTGACCTTAAATTAAATTCCTTAAGTAAAGAAAACTGTGTTTATGCAAGAGTAGCATAAATAGGAAATGCTTCGAAACTGATTTAAAATAATTTCTCAGACAGAAACATAACTTAAGGCATATAGTAGCATAAAAGGTACTAAATAGAATAAGAGCTCCATTATTGTTGGGCACTATAAAAACAAAGATAAAAAGATAGACTCTGTTTAGTAGAGATTACCATTTAAAAATGTAAAGATTCTAAAATTATTCTACATAATCAAATTCTTTAAGATCTGAGGACCATTTCAAGCTACAAATTGTGGTTTTATAAGATGCAAATCTACATATTGAAAGAGAATATACCCATCGTGATTCTAATGAACAGATCTGAAACCTTAGATAAGAAAATCTTCAAGATGTTTGAAGAACTGTGACTTACAAAAAGAGTTTTATTATGTAGTTATTTTACATTCATTATGCATATTTCAAGATGTGATAAAATAACGATTAACATAAAAATCTACTGCAAATCAAAGTTAGTCTGCTAAATCAGATCCTGATCTCCTTTTGAAATGTTAAATTGGACATCATACCTCAACCTACACTATTTTCGCTGTCTGAGCTTTACTACCTTTGTCTTCAAGCCACTCAGTTTCTCTCTTTAATGATTGGATTTTAACATGTAGTCAGTTGTGCTATGTTGTAGGACAGGCACCAAAGGCTGTATTAAACTTTAGTGTCTGCCTTACTTTCAGGGTCTCATCCTGGTGTCTTACCTGCCATGCTTTGATGTTGAAGTAAAGTAGGGAGGTGGTCTTCAGAGGCCAGGGAGCTCAAGCTTCCTACCCTGCTCCTCCTTAGGCTCATCTTTGCCAGCTTTATTTAGAGGCTTGTCTCTGCCTCTGCCTTTGTACCTACTGCACAGTCCACAATATCTCTGTCTTCATGGCTCCATTTCCATTGGCCAAATTGCCTTAAGGGCTGGAATTGTGTCCTCTGTCCTCCCATGCCCATGCCTCACATGTATCACTAGGTATAAATCTGGAGAGAGACACCCAACACACCACTTGACCCCTCAGGGCTTAAACACATCAGGGCTTTGGCCTTCTGGTCTTAGCCATCTTACTCTGGCTCTACCCCTCACCCCACATCCACTGCCTGGGACCTTGGCTCCTCAGCTGCAGTCTCACCCTCTCAGGCTCTGGCCCCCTCAGCCTTCTGGCCTTTCCTTCTGCCTTTTCAGAGTCTGGACCTGCTTACACAGGTTTTTTAACCTCAGGCTCTGATTCCCAATTTAGTTTCATCCTCTAGAAACAGTGGTACCTTTGCTCCAGGTGCTCCCTGCTGCCTCCAACCTCCCTTAACTTGTTTCCAGTCCTCTGGTTTTCAACTTAGCCATAGATATAAGCTAGTTGCATACACTAAAATTTACTTCCAACCTAGGTCTGCCTCATACCAAAATGATAATGAATAAACACTTAACAAAAAGAACTTCACTTCAATGCCTAGTGTTACTGAGCTTCATCCAGCCCCCTGTGGCCTGGAGTTCCTTTACCATGGCAGGTCAGAGCTTCCACAATGGTGCTATAGTTATGAAGCCTGTAGCCATTACCCCCTAGGTCACCTGACCCACTATTTCCCCATCAGGCCCATCAATCACAGCCCTGATTGCATTTTCCACACCTGGGGCAAGCAGACATTTTTCTTAAAGGCCTCTCTGTTCCTAACAGATTCTCCAGGGCTCTGGAGTCAGTTGGTTGCTTCCTGACTCTCTTTTTCAGTAATGGGGTAAAAGCCCCATTACCTGGGGTGACAAGGAACAATGGCCAGAAGCTGCTGGGGAATAGGTTCAGGTTAGAGATTAGGAGGCACTATTTCACTGTTAAGGTGGCTAGGATATGGAACCAACTTCCTAGGCAAGTGGTCCTCACTCCTACCTTGGGTAAATTCAAAAAGAGGTTGGACAAACAACTGTCTGGGGTCGTGTGATCCCAGCATGTGCTCCTTCCAGTGGTGGGGGGTCAGACTAGATGATCTGTTCAGGTCCCTTCTGACCCCAAACTACTATGAAACTATGAAACCTGCTATTATATAGGAGTAATACTAGTAGGCTGCATCCAGACAAGCAGGGCTGTGCAGTATGTTGCACTGCAAACATGTCTGCAGTGCCACATATCGCACATTTAGATGTTCTCCACACTGCAAGGGAGCACTGCCTGTGCATACACTGCTCTGCATTTTTTTTCCATGGGTTTTTTTTGACCCCTGCATATTTTTTTTTCCTTTTTTTTGACCCCTGCATATTCCGGGATCAACAAAACCTGCAGGGAGGGGGGAAGCGGAGCAGTTCACACATAGGAAGCATATGCCACCCAAAAGCGGAGCTAGGCCACCTGGAGCCATGCTGTTGCTGCTGGCCAGGCTCTACATGGCAGAATTGCCACTGCTGCAGGCCCAGGAGTCCCTCAGGACCCCAAGTAAGGCTGCTGGGGCCAGCCCAGGGCTGGCCCGAGCCTCCCCTACCCCACCCAGGGTAGCTTGCTTCATGGCATGTTAGTTTCTGGGGACAAGTAGCAGCAGGGCAAGGTGCATCACTGCTACTTGTTCCCGGGAAAGCAAATATCCACACTCACCTGGATGCAGCCATAATGTTTATATTCTGATCTTAAATCCTAGTTTGAGTCCAAAGTGAAGTAGGATCACCTTATCTCAGATCCACGCTGAAAAATCTATCACATACCTAGTGCTGCTGATCACTCTTGTGACAAATAACAAATCTCAAGTGGTTTTCCAATCAAAATAATAAGAATCTCTGAATTTGTGAGGCTATGTCCTAGCTAACTAAAAGCAATCTAAAAGTAGACTGAGTCACTCAGATTTAAGCTTTATTGCATTCGTGAAAAATCCAATTGGGCTTATGTAAGCGAATGAAATTTAAATGTCCCCATAATGGAAAACAAATCAAAACTGTCACTGAACTTACTGACTAGGTAGCAAGTTCAAACTGTTTGAAACACAGGCACCAATGAAAAATCTATATTGAGAGCAGAGAGTATCAATACCATGGACAGAGTGTTTTGCCTTCTTAGTATATTTGTGATGATTCTGAAGCAGAATTGATGAGGGGGAAGGAAAGGCAATATTCTGAGTACAAAGAATCAATGGATGTTTTCTGCTTTCATTTCAGTCACAGATAAAACTCTTATTTACTTCAAGGGCAGTGGGATCAGGTCCCTGATCATTAATGGATGGATTTAGCTGGTCAGGAAGATTAGTGGCCTTTACTCCCCATACCTTCTTTAGTCTCACACTCAGTAGAAACCAGAAGTCAGAAAACATAAACATACAAAACTCAGGAGGCAAGACAAACTCATAGAGGGGCTAAGATGGACCAGCAAAGAAAGTTTTTATCAAAGATATTATGAGTTTCAATAGGAATTGCAGGAGGAGGAGAAGAAACCACAGGTAGTACTGCACTATGCAGTCCTTTTTGATCCACTAGGCTTTTCAAGACTTCTTTCTTCCCCTACTGATTCCTTCTGATGTAAATACCATGCAACACATTTCAGATTGTGGAGACTACATATAGGGTACTGACAGATATTAAGATCCCCGCTGTAATTCGTCTTTAGCAGGAGCTCGCTCTATTCCCCTGATCTTGGGGCTCCAATCCACCTGCCCCACCCTCCAGCGCTAGCTGTGCAACCCCCAGAATGAGCTCCCTCTGCTCCCTTCCCCTCCTCCCATTCCAAAGACAGTGTGACCACCACAGCTCAGCTGCATCAGCCGAGTCCTGCTCCCCACAGCACTGACAGATGATAATGACAGTGCTCCGCTTTGGAGTGCTTTCATCTGACACCTCATATAATGAAGGTTCAGATTTGTCTCCTGATTGGGCATTTTTAAAGCACTCTGAAGCTGTGCACTTCTGTCAGTGCATGGCTGTAGAGCACTTTCAGTGGCCAATTGTGCAATAAACTGTCACATCTGTCAATGCCACTGTCACATCTGTCAGGTCCCATTGAACGATAGCACTGAAGAGGTTAGTTTTTAATACACATTTTTACACTCTTCAATTTTTTAAACATTTGTTTTCCCTTGTAAAATACCTTTAAATAATACAAGATGGCATACTATGACCAGTTATACTGGTACTGGTATTGGGATGACCCGCATAGTTCACTCCTGACTTTGCAACTCATGAATAATACTGTCATCTGATGCCACACCACAAAGCACATTCTTTTGTCAGCAGCAAATACATGTATATAGAGTGTGCTTAGTACAATTAAAAAGGCAAGATGTACTGCTCAGAAATATCCATTTATAGCAACCAGCGTCCTATAGCTGTAATAGGAAAATGAATAGAATAGATAAATCTTGATGTTTTAATTATGCTCACTGTACACAGTGTAAGTGTAGAATATTATGTATTGTATATGTTAGACAATACAATGTTTTGTGCTCCGCTGTAGATTTCAGTAGAAATTTTAATAGCATGCTTTGTACATTCTGATATTAAATCCTTGTCATCTCTTTCTTCCTAGATTGACAATAGATGCTGAGTGTCAGTTACAGTTACACAATTTCCCAATGGATGAACATTCCTGCCCACTGGAATTTTCAAGCTGTAAGCAGTACACTCAAAACTATCTATACAACTCAAAAAATCATCTATGTTAACTTGATTTATATTTATATAGTTGAGTTATAATAGTCATAGTTAGATTTTAAATCAGTGTAAATCAGCATAGCTGTGTTGTCTTCAGTTTGATTAAAAGCAGGTGATCAGAACCTTATTTTAGAAATGTGTACATTCTATAGATGCACCGATAAAAATATTTCCTGAGAACAGTATGTGTTCTGTGACACACAGCATGTATAAGAAAAGTTATATATTCATAATGCTTATTTTATGCCTTCTACTTGGCATCATGAGTGTTACATTGTATTAAAATCTTGTAAAGTTCTCATACTGGTTGTACATGGATGTCACTCCCCATACAACAGTTGAAGTCAGGGGCACTTGGTCGCTGAGAAATCGGATAACTAATGCTCTACTAATGTCAATAGAAATTTTTCCCACTGACCTCAGTACAGCCATAGCTTTCAGTCTAGATCTTTCAGATTGGGAAGCAAAAACCAATAAACTCAAAACCTAACTTTAGAAAAAAAAAGACTCAATTCCAGATTAAATGCAATAACATATGGATTTATATAAATGGTAATAATAAAGAATAATAGCAAACATTTCCACTAGCATATACTTTTCCTTATTTTTCTGGATAAATAAAAAATGATATTTTTCACAAAAGTAAATTACAGCTAATTGAAATGATTGTAAAACTGTATTTGATTAACTTGAAGATGGCTACCCAAGAGAAGAGATTATTTACCAGTGGAAGCGCAGTTCAGTGGAAGTTGGAGACACCAGATCTTGGAGGCTCTACCAATTTTCATTTGTTGGACTTAGAAACACTACAGAAGTGGTGAAGACAACGTCGGGTAAGATCAGCAACTTTTTCTATTTGGTTTTCATTCATAGTATCTTTGTGATATTTAAAAATAAGATATCTGATTATCTAGAACTCAGCACTGACAATTTGTAGAACACATTTATTTTAACATTTTTTGTATTTTAGTGAATCCTACAAAATGGTGCTCAGGTTGCAAAGTGATAAGCTGTCTATTGTCTGTTGTTGTCATGCAGCAGTTCCTAGTACCTAGTAGTGATGGGGAGTAGGAGGATTGGGGCATGGAAAAACTGAAACTTTGTCTGGAACCCCACAATAAACCAGGCAGTGAAACTGAACTGTTTTGGAAAGGGCATTAATCTGCTATTAGTCTGTACTTAATGATTTACGCCCCCCCCAAAGTAATGGGAATAATTAAAAATCATAGTTTCCTCCTGCACCTGTCTCTGCAGCAGCAGTTAAACACTGCCTCTGATGTGTGCCTGATGGCAAACCTGCCTTTTAGCCCTATATTTTTAAAGGTTACCACAAACTAGAAACAATGTATTTCCGGTAATTCTGCTGCTTATTTCCATTTATGTTACTCTTCTCATGTACTTAGAAGAGAATGTGCAATGATAAACCAGGGAGGACTTGGTTTTTAATAAAAGTAGAAATATTATCCCATTAAATAAGCAGGAAAGTGTATGGAACTTAATAAGTCACTGCATTAAGTCAGAAACATACATGCTCTAGTGTTGGTTGATGGAAAAAAATAGATATCTGAAGACTGATGAGTGTCATTAAGGCTGCAGAAAGAAATCACATGCTAATATTCTTACATGTACACCAGACTCCTTGCCTTTGATTTCTTACTTTCAAAAGGAATAGTGAAATGAAAGAGATTTTTTCTCTTCAGGTTACTTTTGATTTCATTCAATGTTATTTTATTGAGTTAAGTTCAAAGACACTTGGGTTTTTTTTATAATTTTAAGTTTTCCTCTATTCATTAAAAGGAATACTGTGACAATAATTATTTTTCAAAGCTCAGCATTGCTGTTGTAGTAGAGCACAGGAGCACGGATAGCATTGAGGGCTGCCCGCTGTGCATCCCTCTGCAGTGCAAACAAAAACAGTTCAAGATCTGTTAGGTTCTGAGTTCCTGAGTATGTGGAAGTTAACTACTGATAACATATTTGGTCTTGAAGGCAGAGGGAAAGGAGTGAAGCCTTGTAGTTGTAACTACATTTGTTTTACAGCACATTCTGCCATCCTAACTGTAGGAAATATTGTCAGCTAATTAAGAAAGAGTTTGACCTTTCACAGTTCCTTGCAAAAGAAAGGTACAAAAGAGGACAAGAAATGGGGTCAGAGAACATGGTTATTAATATTTTGCTTTATATATGACATGGTAGTTACCCCATACCCAAAGAAAGTCCCCTGTGGTTCAGTGGCAGAGTCCTTGTCTCTCATACAGGAGACCTGGGTTTAGTTCCTGGACACTTATACAACTACAGTCATGGAGGCACCAAACACCTGGACTTTGGATTCTGTTTCAGTGGCCTAAAGGGAGGATTGAAGGTCTGGGTAGCCCTCATGCATACACCATGATCCGGGAGGATCAATGGTTGCCACAAAGTAACCACCAAAGCAAAAATAAACAAGAAAGTGAAAATATCATTGCTATATTTCACCTCAGACATGTCCTAAAAAGAGGCACAGCAGAGGAGACAGCAGTAAATAAATATTTGGTTATTAGTCTATAATCCTGCACTCACTTGTCAGAAGCAAATCTCACATTGACTTCATTTTTCTTCAGACTTGACATGAGTTTATTTACTGTTTCTCATTCCATTGTGGTTCCTCCCTGTTTTCTAAATGGAGGGGTCTTTTCTCTGAGAGAAACATTTCCATGTATTCCAAGCCTTGGACTCATTATTCCATTACTTCCTTTTTTTGTGAAGAAAAGGCCTTTTATAATGTACCTGGTAATGCTAAGACAGAACTAATCTAAAGGAACAATGCATTACCTTACAATGAGAACCATCTTCCTCTGGGACTGCAAATCTTATTTGAGACATCGCAGCCATGCTCTTATGCAACCATTACAACTTAAAGATGAGATTTATTATTAATATGATGTTGCACATCAGCCTTTTTTCATGTGCTTAAACAAATAAAGTAATCAATAGTAATTAAGCATTTAAAACTGTAAAAGCTCACTTTAGCTAACATTTGCTTGGTAACAGGAAATACTCTTCAAAGCAATTTAGTCCTGCTGAGCTGCTCTGAATGGCATGCTGGGGCTGTTCAGAAAACTTGCAAAAACATTCTCTTCAAAGGCATTTTTTCCTGAAGTATGTTTGTACATTTGATTTTCTTTGCTCCTTTTTATTTATTATAAGAAATATTTGCATGAAAACTGATTCTGACTTTGATCCTGCCCAAAGTAGGTGCAGACAGTTGCACATATAAATCTAATGTGAAAACAGTGATTAGTAGAACAGGGGGCAGGGGTATTTGCTTCTATATTAATATAAATGCTGGCTGTAGAGGCCAAAGATAGCAGCATGTAGCTAACTTTCTATCATACTGGTAATTGCAGCTATGTCCAATTCTCCTCAGACAAGCTTGTTCTCCACCTATGCCTGAAATGTCAACTTTATTTTACAGAGCTCCTTTAAGAATAAGGATATGAAAATAAGATTCAGACCTACTTACTTTGAAAGACTACTCCATACTCTTAACTTTGTTTACAGCCCATTTGGGGTCTGTGTGTTTATGCAAATCAGGTATTTGAATATACAAAAGGGTCAGTCTATCTAGGCTCTATTGTCTGTTTAACTCAACAGCTGATGATAATGATGAAGCCTTCCTCTAGGTGGATGGCAGAAGAAATGAGAATATTTCTCTGATATGTGGACAAGATATTTGGCTTAGCGGTGGGAGGCATTTTGTCAAATAGGTTTCTAGTTGAGCTTATAAAGCATTTTGGATGGCAGAAATATCCAGACAGCCTAAGAACTAAATGTAGAGGATGGCTAACAGTTACTGGGATGTACTTGGTAGCCATGTTGGTCTGAGACAAAAAGACATACAAAAAACTAGAACTCTTGGTTCCAAAACGATACCTTTTATTAGACCAACTGGAAAATCACAAGAAAAGTGTCCTTTTCTGCAAGCTTTCATGATTAAAGTCCCTTTGTCAGGCTCTGGGAAAAGTATAGATGGAACAAGATGGTAAAAAGTCCCCATAGGTAGAAAATAAACTGGTTGCATCTACATGAGACACTAACTGCACAGTAGCCTAATGACACTGTACAGTAGTGTGCTGGGCAAAAACCATGTTAATACACTACTGCACGGTAGTATTAGGCTACTGCGCAGTTAACATCCAAAAAAACCTGTGCGTCGTCACTACAGCTCAATAGCATGAGTTACTGCGCATTGATTTAGTACTTGGTTATTCATGTACTAAACTTAATGTGCAGTAACTACAGTATATTAATGAACATGTCCAAGCAGTGTATAGCAATGAGAGCCTTACTATTCGAGAGAAGTAGGGGGACTGCCTTCCCCTCATTTCAGCACCTGTTCCCTTTTCTTTCCCTTCCTAATTTATCACACCCACTCTTGCCTTCTCCTTCCCAGGGTTCAATAATAGTCTAGCATCATATGCAGGAATAGGGAAAAGATGGGCAGAAAGTCCGTGTTAGCACCTATTAAGCCCCAGTGAATGGGTGAGTTCTAAGTTGGGATATGGTTAAGCACAACAGGACAAGACACATAAGGGCAGGTGAATGAGCAGTAATTATTTGGTACTACCAAAAATAAGATGAAGAGACAGCTAATGGGCAATAGCTTTCTAGGACAGCTGGGATTAGAGATAAATAAGAAATATTAACTCTGAAGGTGCTGATTTGCTGTTTCTGTTGCCTATATGTATGCCATTAGAATAAATGGATAACACAGCAAAATAGGGCCATGTTACATATTATACTGTGGGCTGCTCAAATGTTGATTGGTGTTAGCTAAAGTTTGGAACAGTCACAGATTTAGGCCGGCAGGAGCCTGGACAACTGAAAAGTAAGAATCCCTACTCCCTGCCTCCAGGCTTTTTTCCTGCCCACTTCCCTCTAGTCCTTCCCTGGTTCCTCCACCTTTAGGGCTCCCTGTCTGTCTTTCTGCCACCACTTACATTTGGAAACCTTTGTTGTCTGTCCCAGGGGAGCAGGGTGGGAAAGGTCAATTTGCCTGCCTGACTCCCACCACTGTCACTGCTGGGCTGCTACTCTTCTCAGGGCTGAACCAGCCCAGAGATCAGCAGTGGTGGGGGGAGCAGTGGTGGCCAGGCAGGCATGTTAACCCTTCCCTGCCTGTTCCCATGGGACAAGCAGCATGGGAAGCCACAAGCAAGTGTGTGTGTGAGGGTGGAGATCTGGGGTGCTAGACAGGTCATGGAGGGGGCCAAACTGGGCTAGTGGGGGACAGGGGGTAGGTGGGGTGTTCACCATAAGGTGTAGCCTAGACTGGCTGCACTTTTTGTGCAACACAAACTGGGTAACACAGATCAGAGGTGTTCCTGCCCTGGAGTGGCATAAATGAGTATCAAACAAGTGCTTAAAATTAGTTTCAGGCGTTAACGTGTGGACAATCTAGGGGTTAAGAGTTCCAGGAGCTGCCTAAAATTAATGTTTAACAAAGGCTATAGCAACATTTGAGAAATGCAATTGGTGCATTCTGGGTGAATTCATCTGGAATGTTTGGAAGTTTTCAAGGGGTTCATAGAATTATTTTGAGTTAGGGTTGGAAGGGACCTCAGGAAGTCATCTAGTCCACCCCCCTGCATGAAGCAGGACCAGCCCCAACTAGCTTACTCCAGTCAAAGCTTTGTATAGCCAGGTTTTGGAAACCTCCGAGGCTGGAGCTTCTTTCACCTCTCTGGGTAACCTGTTCCATTGTTTTACTACCCTCCTAATGGGAAAATTCTGCCTAATATCTAACCTAAACTTCTTTTGCTGCAACTTGAAACTATTGCTCCTTCTTCTGTTA